GGCAATGGAAAGGTACAAGTTTAGGTACAAGAGGAAATCTGTATTGGAGATTGGTAGTTCATGCTGTCATGTGGGGTGTTTGGGAAGAAAGAAACAACAGGGTGTTTGAGAATAAAGCCAAAACTGTAGAAGATCTGATCTCCTCTATTACTTTCCACTACAATCCTTGGGCTGTAAATTCTGGAGATTTTGCTGGACTTTTTTGGATGATCTCCTGCAAAATCTAAAGGAAATCCTTGTCATCCCCAAGACAGGATATTCTCATCTTTGTTTTAAAAGGAAGGAAAGGATGGCGAGATTAAGTTTTGACAGGAGTGCTCAAGGTTCTTCTAGTGTAGCAGGGGTTGGAGGTATAGTCCAGGATAGAGACGGGAACATATGTTGGGCTTTTAGTGGACCGATTGGTTGTGCTAATTATACAAAGGCAGAAATAGTAGCAGCCCTCATGGGACTTCAGTATGCTAAAATGTTATGAATTTCCTCCCTACCTATTGAAGGTGATTCATCCAATACGATAAGATGGCTAAAAGAAAAAGACAGCGGGCCTTGGAGTTTGGCTCATTTCTTGGCAGAAGCTAGAGACATCTTGGATTCAATGCAGGTTAAATTTAACTGGATTCCCAGGTGTGAATAAACCTAGTTGTTTCTAGGTCAAAGTAGAGAAGAAGAAAGAAGAAAGAAAAGAGAAAGAAGAAGAAGAAGGAGAGGAGAAAAGTATTCGGCCAGACTAGAAGAGAGGATGTACAAAAGTACCTCTCCTAGCCGACCCACTTGACTTTTATTCATGAAAACTTGAGTTACAAGAAAGACAATTTTGTCCCTCATAGAAGATGGGACACAACTTAAACTCAGATACAATAGACATTTCACTTTCAATAAGATACACCAGAATGACCAAAATACCCCTGAATCGAGCATTCTAACACTAGGGAACTGAACACTGTAGCAGATGGGTTAGCTAAATTTGATGCTCATAGAGATTACTTTTTTAGTGATAGTGTTCTACCTTTTTAATCTTTATCTGCTTTGCTTTGGTGTACATTTTCTCATGTACCACCTTTCATTGCACCCTTATTTTATTTGATCTTTCTATTTCACAAGTTAGAAATTTGAGAGCAATTTTCTGTTGTTTTGAAGGTGCTCCTTCAGCTTTTCATGTTTGTTGAGTTTTGGGTTGATATAACATGTTTTTTATTTACATAGTATAGTTAGTGAGTTATTGGGCCTTAGGCCCATTAGTTTATGTTTTAAGTTAAGAGTGTTTTTAAGTTCTCACAAGTAACTGACTTACTAAGGGCATACTTGTCTTTGTACTCTCTTTTATTTATGAGTATATAATCTAATGAAAGGGGTGGTCGGACCTAATTCTGAGCTTGTCCCATTCTCTTCTATCTCTCTTCTCTCTCTTTCTCAGTTGAATCTTTTCATCTCTTTCTTTTCTTCTTTATTTTACATTTTTTATATCAAAACAGGTTGTCCAAACTTTTCTACTATGTCGATCTCTATAAGAGCACTTTGTTTGGTGCTGAGACTTGAGACCAACAATTTTTTTTTTTTTTTTTAATTTCTTGTGTTGAGTTCTTGGGCTGTTTTATTGACATTTCCCTCATTCTTATCTGAGTTTTGTGTTGGATATTAGGCAGTTTTTTTGCCTTAATCGAGAGGTTGGATAGGAGATTTGTGGGTTGGAAAAATCACTTCCTTTGATTAGGTAGTGGCGTCACATGTGCAAATTAAGATGCCAGCTTTGATAGAGAAGAGGTTGTAGAAAATTTGAAGAGCTATTTTGTGGAATAGGAGGGAAGACAAGAGGAAGTTCCATCTTGTTAAATTGTCTTGAGTCTATCAGCCAAAAGTAGGAGGGTTGGGTTTTAGGAATGTGGGTCTCACAGAGAAAGCATTTCATGGTAAGCGGTTATAGAGGAGTTTGAATCTGCCCCCCACCGAATTGCACTGCAAAAACGTCCCACATCATTAGAAGACGCCGCGTGTCCACCCACACGCATGCGCCTCAACCTCGTGAGGAGCTAATGGGACGGCCGTTAGCACCTTCACCCAAAAAAGTGAGTTTCCTTCTTTCGAGTTTGAATCTCAATCTTTCACTCCTATTGACCTGCCCTCTGAAACTCAGACCGCTCCATCTCCTCCTCCGCCGGATCTTTTCAAGAAATCCAATGCCGACGATCATTCCACCAGATACACCAGAACTCCCCATCCCTCTTATCTCAGATATTCTCAGATATGTTTTTTCTTTTAGTTTTTTAACTTGTTTTTGCAATAGAAAAAACGCAGAAGGAAGAATCGCCGGCAGATATTCTCGAATATGTTCTCTTCCTCCTGCAATATTCCACACTAAATTCACTGATTTGAGTTTAACCATGGAATGTCTCTGATTGGGTTGACACGCAGTGCAAAGACGAGCAAATTTCATGGTTATTTAAACCATAATAATTGTGTGAGTCAGACAGAGCACAATCGTTTTCGTGAGGGTTGGCTCTCTCAAAAAAAAAAAAAAAACAAAGATTAGAGGGTTGGCACTGAAGACCTCATAAACAAGTTCAAAACTTGATTTTGAGCCATGATGTGTTTCTGTACTTTAAAGGGAAATCAAGATTAGTTGGAGGTTGAGTTGCTTAAATTAATTCAGTTTGGCTTCCGTCAAGAAAAATGATGAATCCTTTTCCTATAGTTGTCCTTGTTGCTGATAATTTAGAGATAGAAACAAGCAGTTGGTTTGTCGAACTTAAAAGTTGCATTATCAAGACAAAGCGCTTTCTAGGGATGACATAAAAAGACATTGTTGTCATTGTTTCAAGCCTTTGAGTCCTAACCAGAGCCAATACCTGTATCTGTTGCAATTCTTCCCTTCTGCGTTTTTTCTATTGCAAAAAAAAATGTTAAAAAAACTGAGAAAAATATATTTGAGAATATCTGAGATGAGAGGGACGGGGAGTGTGTACCTCCGGTGTATCTACCGGAACGATCGTTGGCGTTGGATTTCTCGGCAAAATCCGACGGGGAAGGAGATGCAGTGGTCTGGGTTTCAGAGGGCAAGTTGATAGGAGTGAGAGACTGAGATTCGAACTTGAAAGAGAGAAACTCTCTTTTTTGGGTGAAATGGGAGATAACAGCTGTCCCATTAGCTCTGCACGAGGCTGAGGTGCATGCGTGTGGGAGGACACGTGGTGTCTTTTAATGGTGTGGGACGATTTTGGGGCACAAGTCGATGGGGGGGCAGATTCGAACTTGTTATAGAAGTTGCCTAGAGAGGAATCTGCCAAGTAGAGAAGAATTATAATGGTGAAATATATTGAAACTCTTTTTTAGTGGTCTTATTCGGTGGTTAACTCATCATATGGGTTTAGCTTTTGGAGATGTATTTTGAAGATATTTAGCAAGTATGGTCCACTCACAGGATGCAAAGTTGGGGATGGTGCTAAATCAGATTTCAGAAATATGTTGGAGTGATTTTGGTAAATACTGTGAGCATTGTCCAAGACTGCATTTGGTTTCTCCTCTGGTGAGGACAACCATAAAGATCTTTACTCTTTATGAGGTGGTTCAATGTTCTGGTTCCCCGTTTTCTGGATAGGGGAATAACCATGTGTTTCAACCTTCTTCAAAATCTCGATTGGACTCTTAATCCCTTATCATATAGGGGGGCTGTGCTTACTTGAAAAGAACATGATGGAAAGTGCACAGTTCACTTGTTTCATGCGGCCCTTGCTTGGGGTACTTAGTTCTTTGATGCCAACTGCATATTAGAGAGGTTTTTTCCTCCCAAGTCCAAAGATTGAAGCATTTATAAGGATGTTGTTCCTTCTTTTCATTTTTTTCTTTTTGATCAATAATTCCTTCTTTTCATTTTCACTCACACTTGTTCTGTTTCATGCTAGTTTTTGGCATTTTGGTTGCTTTTGGATATGGGGGACTTCTTACATTTTTTGACATAAGAATGGCCGTGTTATTTCTTTTTATTTGTTCCTGTATTTTTCTTGTTGAAAATATATGCAAGGTTCTTATGTTCAATTACATACAAATTATTATTTTTCAACATTTTTTTTTGCTTCATGGGGTTATACAATGGAGGGTAGCCTGTCCCCTATACCCATAACCTCCCAACCCTGGTGAAGTGGGAACCAGCCAGAGAACTTACCCACCGAGCCACCATCAGTTGGTTATTCTTTTTTAACATTATATAGATCATTTAATCATTCATTTGTGGAGAACTTTATATTTCTAAATAAGTATAAATGTTAAGAAAAGAAGCCAAGTCCTTGGCAGTAAGCCACCAGGGGGCTAAGTTTGTTCCAGTATTGCCTATTATGTGAGGCTAGCTCATGAGCTACACAATTTTCCAGATATTTCCACATACCTAAATCTAATCATATAAAAAAGAACCAAGTAAACTAGAAGTGTGCTTGAAATGAGGTTGTTTCAGTTGGCTCAATGGTCAACAATTGGAAGGGCTGATTCTTTGGCAAGATTAGGGGAAAATGGGCAGCAACTTTTTTGAGCTCAAATGTAAGGTTAATCTAAGAAAAGGGATAGGTAACGTACTTCCAGTCTATATATTGGGATGCATTATACTTTGTACATATTTGATTTTTTTTTTTATAAAAAAGAATAACACACTTCCAGTTAGGCAGTTACCTATAAAAAAGGGTCTGCTTAATGCCAGAATGAGTTGTCCCTTGCAAAAGACTACACAACAGTCTGCACATATCCTTCCACCAAGCTGTTTGATGTTTAGCTGAAAGGCCCTCCAAAGCCCATAAATAACTATCTGAAGCTCTGCTTCTTCACCTGCTGTAGAAACTCTTTGTCCTTTGTGGGGAACTTGAATAAACGTGTTGGCTTTTTATTGGATGATGCCACACACGGTTATCCTATGACATGGGAAATTCAAAGGTAGTAGGGTGAAATAGCTATGCTGTCATTGTTAAATGGTTTCTGTAATTCAGCTATAAAGGCACTGATGGTTTCTGAACTATTGGCAGGGGCCGAAAATGGAACCCACTTCGACGGAGGTTGGATAGTTATGACTACACTGTTGAGCAACATATAGTTGGATCTCTTCTTTTTACCCCCCTACTACTTTTACTACCTACAACTTCTGTTTTCTACATTTTTTTCACAATTATGAATACAACATCTAGTTGCATCTGTATATTGATTGAGGTCATTGTGTCAATCCTTCATGCTACACCTTATGCTAAAATTTTCATCTGGATGGTAAGACCAAGAAGATTTCCGTGCGGAATATGGTTCGAAATATTAACTGATCCAGGTAGTAAGGTGCTTGGTCATCCAGAGGTTGGATATATTGATGAAGACCATCCAGGATGTGGGAAGACTCCAGAAGACGGGACAAAACAGGAAGATGAAAAAAGATATGCAATTATGATTTCATTTCTTCGCAGCAACTTTTCAAATATAGGTAATTAGGTACTAGTATTATTCTTAACATGGCTTGGTTGGGGAATCATGACAGGGCTTGTTCAAATAATTTTAAAGTATCTGTCATTTTTTGCCAAACACATGCATTTAATAGTGGGATCCTTTGTTTTGTCTAGAACATGTTAACACCTTAACTTGGGTTAGCATATTTCACTCTTTTGGGGTTAGATGCACCTTTCAGCATTCTGTCACTGTGGCTTTAATACTAATCAGAGTGGAAGTTTATTTCAGGACAAATCATTCTACCACACTACAGAGTTTTGTTTCATGGGGTTTCTCTGTCATCTGGTGCTTCACCTGCCTATGGACTTTTCACCGGAAGAAGGTAGGCTGCGTATCTTTTCAATTGTTTGTGCATCATCCAGAGTCCAGACTGCTTAGTTTGTTTCCCTATTAGATATGATTATAAGTTTAAACATTTCATCTTCTGTTACAGAATTCCTTCTGCTCTGGGAATTTCTCTCCCTCCATCAATGCCATGGATGTCTGTCACCTGTAGGGAGTATTGGCGACTATGCCATGACACAATAATTGCATGCATGATAGATGACTTCTGACAGATTCTGCTAACCTAATATCACATTCCACTTTTTCCAACTCAATTCTTTGTTTCCACTTACTGCTAATTGGTTCTCTTTCTTTTATTATTATTTTTGATGAGGATGTGTGCTCTGCTTTCATACTGTGGGGGGATGAGGTAAAAGTTATCTCACGTGGCTCACTTGGCAAAAGATTATAGCCACAGGAACTGAGGAGAGTTTCTTCTTTACCATTTGATGAGTGTGCTTTTGGTCCATCCTGTTGGAGACCAGCATTTGTTGTTGTTGTCGTCATCGTCGTCGTCGTTGTTGTTTCCTCTTTTTTTTTTTAATTTTATTTAGTTACTGTGCTTATGCTAGCCATAGACCTTAGGTACCAAATCTGTTAAATCTAAAAGGTTCCGTGATAGAGTAGAAGGTTCACAAATTTGTTTAGCTTACTTTTTTCTTTTTTTTGATTTCTCATTTCTGTAAATTATATTGATGTAAAAGCCTGACTTTCATATACAAAAAGCTTTACAAATACCTTAATCAAGTAACATATGAAGTGCATAAGGTGTTATCACAGACTATACCCTCCTTTATATTCAAGAGTTCTTTTTAAAGACGGCCAGTGAAACAGATACTTTTCTCTGTTAGTCATTCCATGAAGTGTGTGCATTGTGATCCTCCAGTGGACCATATTACACAATGAAAGAACTTCTTTTGAACAGCTTTAGCACCGCCTGTCCATTTCCAAAAAAAAAAAAAAAAAGGAAAATCAATCACATCTTAATCATGATAATCTTTGGAACAGATGCTTTTCAAAAATCTTCGGAACATTTACTTATCAAAAGATTAAATCAATCTTAGAAGGTAATTTTTACCCAAATAGGCTTCTCCAGTACCAAGTTGTTTTCAATGTTACAAGTGTTAATATTGGATAATATGGTTTGTTCCTCCAAACCCTACAATAGTTGATGTTGGCTACCTGTAGGAATGAATGTGACTAATTTTTCAATATATCAGCAACTGGGAATTCATCTGAACTCTGTATCATGGTTTTCAAAATCAGACCGGACCGGAAAAACCGGGAACAGGTCACCTGAATGGTTCCATTTTCCCCCAAAACCGTTTTTTTCCCCAAAACTGTTGATTTTGGTCAGCAAACCGCTGAATCGGACGGTTAACCATTCGAACCGTTCGAATGGTTTTGACCGTTTTCCAATTTTATTTTATTTTTTTGTCAGAATGGGCCGACCGTTTGGGTTGAACGGTCGGACCGTTCGAACCGGTAACCTGACCCCTGACCGGTTCAGTTTTAAAAACCATGCTCTGTATGTTCTATTTGAGTACATTCAAATCCCTGCAGATGACACAACATTCCTACTAGATTCATGCAAGACTGCAAATTTTTAGAAATGCTGGCACGTTAGTGTATCATTCCTTTTCCAATTATCTAACTTTGCAATTAGGTGGTGTACTCTCTTACTATTTCATTTAATGCCCTCTTTGATCTTCTGCTGATCTCCCAAAAAGTTTCATTTTTTTTCTAAACATAATTTTGCGGGTGGTGGGGACTCAACTCTATGTAATCTTGGTTTATGTTCCTAGAGTTTTTCTTTGATAATTAAGTAAATAATTTATGTGATTCTATAGAGAATGCCTTATTTGTTGAAAGTACTTAATGATGACTCATTTTTTTTATTCCTTATGATTTGAAATAGCCATTAGTTTCACCATTCAAAATTGTAAGCCAACAATTGCAGAAGCACCACTTCATTTAGGTCCAATTATTTGAAAAGTCAAACCTTAAGAAAGCTTCTGGAAATTTTGACTGTTCCAAATGATCATAAGTTTTTCCCTTGCCAAGCTTCATGATGACATTGTTATCTCAAGCTTTGTTAGATATGTCGTGGAAAAGTTCCTGAGCCATGATTTTATGTAGTGATACTTCTGCTATTGTCAAAAGTACCCTACTCTGAGATAATAAAGCATATGCTATACCAACCTTGTTAGCCATGCTTTTAAGATTATCTTGTAAGAGAAATGCTAATGGGTTTCAATTTTGCATTAGAGTGGGCTTATCCAACTTAGATATTAGAATGATAATAGGGAGGATGGAGATTCCTGCTTCAAAGGATTCACAGCCCTAAAGATATCTTCATCAACTACAGCTCTGCAATGGCAAAAGCATTGATCTAGAAAGTCAAGACAAAGTCATTGTCACTAAAGATACTGAAAATGGATGTTTTATTGTATTATCTGCCAGAATCTTGATTAATATTTAGTTCTCTTCAGAATGAGATGATGAATACACTGAACAGGAACCTAAACTTGAAGGATGATCTTCCAATCAAGTTAGGCATATTCTGAAATTAGGGACACTAGTGTCCCTATCTTCGCGAATAACTTCTTTCTAATAAGTCCAGAATTTACTGAAACCATGCTTCCATTGGTGTATGAGCAAGTCCCACAAATCTCCTCTATTACATCAATATTTGATATTTCGTCCAGGTTAAGATGATCAATATAATCCTATGCTACCAGTCTACGATGGAAGTTGAAGTACCAGTCCTTTAGGGAATAATGTACATGACAAGAACTGATGATTTCAATAAATTACACATTGCTGAAGGAAAACATTATAATCCTCAAAATATAGTCTATATGAGATGAATGGCACATATTTCTTTTGCTGTGAACCGTACATGTAAGATTCATTGTCTTGTAACGACTGTGCTTATTTTGTTGAAAATCCAAATTGTGTTTTCTACTCTAAATAGTTCAGTGCAAATTGAAATTTAGTGGTCAATGTTTATTTGCGGACCCTAGTTACACAACTTCATGCTTTTAGAGAGCAAATAATTGGTTTCAATAATCTGTTAAGTGTTCTAGATCCTTCTCTTTGCAAGCTGAAGGAAGTTCCCATAAAAGAAGTTGGAGAAAAAGTTGTGCAAGTTACTACCTGCATTTAAATGGTACCCATAATTGTGCATTGTTTAGGTTGACAAAATGTATCCAACTATATGATTAACCCTTAGTAAAACTTTCCTCTAGATTGTTTTTGTTTCCCCGTTGTTGTTGCTGTTGCTAAGAAAGTTCTTGTATATTGTCTGTCGAGAAAGTAATCCTACTAGTTTGGTGGTTACGACCACCAAATTGATCCTTCAGGTTGTCAAGGTAATACACTATTACACCCACCTGGCCATGCCATTCAAATTATTGTAGTTTCATCAGGAATATCTGCTGTTTATTTCTTCTTTTATCTTATTTTTTTCCCTAAATATAACTGCTTCCAGATCATTACTTGGTAATGTGACAGATAATGGCCTGGATGACTATCAAGAGGATTTGTCACATCCCTGAATTTACAGAACCTAATTACTGAAATCAGAAACCTGGTGGATGAAAATCACGAGAATGCAACATTAGCCGGGTACCCAAGTGGAAGAACTAGTTTACCCTTTAGGCCAGTGATGTCATGAGGGTGGCAGGTTCCCTCATTACAAGTTCTCTAACATATAAGGTCCCTCGAGCCATGTTCTGTAAAGGTAGCTCAATCAAAAGGGTTCTACCTAATCCGGCTAAAAACAAGCCATGATCAAATGATAATTTTGCCTAGGCGATATGTTAGGCTGGACCCATCAATGGTGGGTCCTGATATTCTGTCATAATGACAAGTACCTATAGGAAATATGTTAGGTAGAACCCATCAACGGTGGGTCCCGGTATTCTGTCCCAAAATGACAAGTGGCTATTACATGAGGGGACCTCGTGTTATATGTTCTTATTAAACAGGTCACGAGAAACACAAAGAAAGATAGGCTTGCGTTAAACCTATCCCCTATAGATTATGAAGAAAACAGACAAAGCAGAGGAAGAGGACAACCAACGGCTGCCTTGTCACTGGACTCACTACACTCCACCAATCGTTGAATAGTGACTAGTGAGCGTATGGATCGTAAGCGTTTGTTGCACTCTTTTAGGTTGTGGTTCCTTCTGTTGAGAAGAAAAGGTCCCATGCATACCAAGAGGGCACATGTGAACCCTCTGCTATCACTTTCATGTTTGCACTGCACATGGATGAAGAGAGAGAAAGCTCTTGGAATTAGAAATCCTTCTGATTTTGACATTTTCTCTCCAGTTACAAAATTGCCCTTTATGCCTTGAAGACCGATACCCACTTTATTGAATTAAGCGTCCTCATTCCTCAGTGGTTTATCATTCCACAGACCAGATTAACGAGGCAACCAATGATTCAACGTTTAATTTTGTTTCACTGTTTTGTGATACTTTTGTCAGGTTTTCCGAACATTGATAGCTCTCAAATAAAGACTAGAACAGACCAGCTTATAGGGCTAAGTTAAGTTTAATCCGGAGAGGTTTGGGTTGGCAACAATCCATCTGAATTTCCGATTCATTCCGGGAGGAAGACAAGGAAGAATTTGTTATTGTATATTTAGAGTTAAAGGGTTGAAATGGTCATTTATCATGAAAACAGCCATGTCTCCACTCCTGTCCAGCCAAATAAAAGGGTGTTACTGTCAGTTGCAAAATCGTGAGTCTACTTTGTCCCCTTCTCAAACTGTATAATTGGCGTCAACTGTCAAGGTTGCATGCATTGAGATATCCACATGGCATCCTTTTGCCTTGTAAATATGAAAATATAGTGACCCAACCACACTATATATATACCCTCAAAGCTACTAACCCTTCATCACTACTCACCACAAAATTCTTTTCAGTTCCCCACTCACCTCTTAATTTCCATCCTGGTTTATTTCCCAGCTCCCTTAGTAGGGTTTCCTGTCTTCCAAACTCAGCAATGGCAAGGAAACCAAGCACACTGATGCTATGTGTTCTGACCATCTTGCTAGTTTTACTCAGAGAAATTCAGGTAAGCCACAACTGGCCTTTGAGGACTTTTATCTCTTTCCTTTACATTAACTTGACTAATCTGTCTTCATTGGGGTGTCCAGGGTAGCATTATTGCTACTAAGACAGAAGCTCCGGCTGCAGAACCACAGCCAGCAACCCTTAACATGGTGAGACTAGCTAGTAGCTATGACCAGCGATTAGCTTCAATTCCTGTAGAAAACTTTTGATTTTCTCCCTCTATTATGTTCTAGCCTTTGTAACTCTTCTGGTTTTCTTGGAATTGCAGTATGGTGCTACTCAAGGCAGCCTTCACCCGCAAGGTCATTTACCCACTTTAGTGTATGGGAATATGCGCTTATGGTGGTTGTTTGGTTTGAGAGATTGTGATTGAATTGTGTGGTTTTTCATTTTTGTGCAGAGTGTGCGCCTCGTTGCACTGCAAGATGCTCAGCAACAGCTTACAAGAAGCCCTGCATGTTCTTCTGCCAAAAGTGCTGTGCTGAGTGCCTGTGTGTGCCTCCTGGGACATATGGGAACAAGCAGTTCTGCCCTTGCTACAATAACTGGAAGACCAAAAGAGGAGGACCCAAATGTCCATGAACCATGATGTATCTTCCAAAGTCTAACTATACAAACCTGTGAATTAGTCATTCACTTGTCACGCCTTACCTAGTGTCAACTAAGTCTCTTGGATCATCTTATATTACATATTATGCCCCTACTGAACTGATAAAAATGAAAGAGCTAGCTTCTCTAACAATGTGCTGCTGCTTTAGCCTTCACAAGGCCTTTGAATTGATTGTATCGTTCCAATTTACTGTGAACTACACATGTTGGTTATGGTAATCAGTGGCACTTTTAAATCAAAGAGATATCATCTATGAAGAGAGAGAG